AGAAAATTAAAGTTAAGACTGATACTGAGAAACACACAGACGGCACCAGAGGTGGTGTGGGGGGCTGGGCTGTGCACTGAGGCGGTCTGGTTCCCGATTCCACGCGTGCTTCTCGATCCCAGCCGAGCTCCACTGCACACACGAACTGTCAAAGTCGGTTATTCTCAATATGATAGGCTGGGTTTCCTCTCTTGAAAAATGAGGAAATAGATGCACCAAGAGGTTAACAGGCTGGGCCAAAGTTGGGCAGTCAGTTACAGAGCTAATATTTCTACAGAGCTTCCGACTGATGCCAATGGGTATCAAATATTGGACTTCATTAGGAGCGAAAATCTTCTGTGTTCATGAAATTTAAAAATAGCCAAACCTCGATGTCATGTGAAAGATCTGATCTAGGATCATAAAAATTTTGTTAACAGATGCTTTAAAAATTTTTTTTTAAATCACACTTCTTTACAGAACTAATTTTCTTATTTTCTAGAGCAATCTGAAAAGCAATTGCTAATGTTTCAAGTTATTAAGAGACACTTCCCCCTTAATATCATAAAAGTACATCTCTAGGTAAGGCATTCAAGCACCATAAACACAGAAGAGTATAAGTAAGTATATTCTATAAGTAGTTCTTGTGAGATTCCAGATTGACTGCGTAGCATAAATCTCTCTCTTTAATATACCTAAAACATCCTCCCACCCAAAGATGTGCTTAGTAACTGCCCAAAAGGATAGCTTATACTATACTTATTAAACAGTATGCCTCTTAAAGGGGTGAAAATTGCCTTAATAGTTTGATTTGTTTGAACTACATTTTTGGATTATAATACGGGAATGTGATTGGTAGAAATTTTCGCCTTTGTCAGTGAAGTGTGGAATGGGGAGATATTTGATACAAATTTCAGGAAACCCATACTCCTGACAGCTCACTGGAAAACAAATGCACATCATATGATATTTCCTGTTAACTAAAGTTAGAAACTTGGAAGACTTGTTCTATCATGCAAAGTCCTGTCTTCTCCATTCTTCTCCCCAAACAAAAGTTAGAGCAAAAGTAGGGGAGAAAAAGTAATACATTTTCTTTACCCATCACTAGGTTTGTAGCTAAATCCCTGTAAAAGCATACATAAATTAACAAGAGATAACCACAATAATTTTGAGTTTTATATGACATGAGAGGCTTCAGAAAAGAAGACCCAAGTAAGAAGAAAACTGCATTTTTATGGACTGTCAGAAATGAACAAACGTGCCTGGAGGCCCAAGGGCTGATTCAGGAAAGCCTGCTGTTCAGTCTGCTTGGCCCCTAGGTATGCACAGGGCAGGGCCCTTCTGGCATGAGTCTTATGGCCCACTTTTAGGGTAGGGAGTAAGGGACAATGTTTTTACGGCTTCCTTCAAGGGAGGAAGTTGGGACCAGACCAGAGACCTGTTTCCGTAGTTTCCTTAATTTCCTTCGTGTCAAAATACTCAGGAGGCCCAAGTGCCACATTTTAGGGTAGCAAGTTCTGAGCCCCATCAGAAACAATCACAGAATTAGGTCCCTGGCAAACTTACATTCTAGGGGACTAAAGAAACATAAGCCAACTCAAAACTAGTTTAAAAACAGCGAAGAGTGCCTTGACACAAATTAAATAAGGAAGGGGGTGGATTAGGAGGTTTAGTGGGCTGTGTGGAGCTCCGTGGCGGAGAGCAAAGAGTCTTTCTCCAGTCTGCACTACTCATGCAATAGTCCCCTGGTGGATGGCAGCATCCCACCGCTGTTAAACCCAAGGAGGAGAGCTAACCAATCAACTGCGGAATAAAAAGTCACTCTTTTACCTCGATATTTCCATTTTTCCTGCTGCTAGTGCCTTACCAAGTAAGCCAGGCTACCCTTGTTTCTGTAAAGCTGAATCAAAAGCCTCTAAAACAAAAAGCCTGAAGTGGCATCATGTTCAGGGGCTCAGTCGGCTGTGCACCTTCATTACCGAAAACAACAGTCGCTTCGGGGGAAAGACCCTCCCCAGGCTCATCACTGCTATTACTGGCCTGAGACAAACCAGAGCCCAGGCACCAGGCAGACGCTGCACATCACACACAGGCGAAGAGGAAGCAAACAGTCGTGCGCTATCCACGGCAGGCTGATAAACCCCGCTTCAAAATGTGCAACTGCGTGAATTTCAAAACACAGCGCGCTCAGTCCTGAGCCGTGCTTCTCAGAATGCGACGGCTGAATGCAAAGCCGCTGTCCCGCTCCCAGAGGAGCTGCTGACCACAGCACTGCGCCGGGAGTCCTGCTTCCGTGACCCTCATCATTCACCATGTTACCAAGACAAACCGAGGCAGGCCAGGGAATGTCTGCATTCTGGACTCATGGGGTAAAAGAATGTTCATTGTTAAGCAAAGAATTCTTAACAACGAAGATTCCCAAGTCCCAGCTGCAACGTTCTCTGTTAGCAGACTTAACATCTGACAGCCAGGTGCGGTCGCCCATGACTGTAACCTCAGCGCTCTAGAAGGCCGAGGCAGAAGAATGCTCAAACCCAATCTAGGCAAATGAGTGACGCAGCTAGATGTGTCTCAAAATAGCATGAAAAATAAAGGAGGAGCGGTGGAAATGTAGCCCTGGGTTCAATTTGGAGAAAACTCCAAATCCAGTGAATTAATAATTAATGTTTTGCTGTTAACTCATCACCAAAGTGAATTTAAAGAATCATAGTTTATGAAACAGATGAGGTGCCTTTCCATAGAGGAATCTGTCTTAGACAATTTTCAAACTTCATTGCCCACGAGGGGTGAGTGTGTGATGGCTTATCTCGTAGTCACTGTGCACCGGACAGGCATGGCCCCGCTAGTGCACGTGGGTAAATTCTGCAATCAGGTCAAAAGCAAGTGAAAATTGAAAGGTGCCCAAAATAATGTAATTTGCTGACTTTAAAGGAAATAAAGAGCAAAATAAAAGCTAATAGGAAGTAGACAGATAGACTGTTCTCTAAGGGGAAAGGGGATCGAGGGACGGAGGGAGGCATAGGGAGAAGAGGGGTAAGGGATGGATGTGTTACGCATGTGTATGTACCAACTTCCTACGAGGAGCCTAGAAGGCACGCGCTATACATGTGTACCGATAAACTGAAGTTTTATAAAAAGGTAAAAAAAAACAGTGTAAGTTAAACAATCATAGTGGTGACAGAAGCTGCCCTCAATTAACATGTGAGTGTGATATGTGAAGAATAAAACTGCACCAAAGCCAACCTAAACATTAAAATTACAGTCAAATTCTATAGCCACAGTTTACAGCCCTGCTAGACTCAACGCTTGTTTATTTCTTCCCATGTGTCTTACATTATTACTTCAAGGCAGGGATAAAAACTGTAAATTCAGACTTGGGAAGTATAATGCAATGAGCGTTCGTAGATTCACAGTGTTGTACAACTATCACCACTCTGTTTCCACATAATTTTCATCACAAAAAAAGTTCTTATTAGCAGTCACTCCCCACTCCCTTCTCTTCCCCTGTAATCTACTTTCTGCCTTTATTCAAGCCTGCTTGCACAGCAAATATTTTAAATGTCTCCCTTTAGAATTTTGAGATCATATAACCTATCTATTCATATAAATTTCAGCTGTGTTTAATATGTGCATATTATCAACCTGTGTATTCCACTTAATAAGGTTTGTGCATTCTCCCATGTTACTAGTTCTACTTTTATGCTGTCACTTTCAATGGTTGAAGGAATTCCATCAAATAGATACAGCAATAAAGCTCATCTGGTGTGGTTGGAATTTGCATTTGAACACTGAAGTTTTAAAACTGTGGTAACTAAGTTTAAGCATTTGGGTTTTGTATTTCAAGAATCCATTTCCTTAAAAAAGGCATGGGCTTTATATCCTTTTATAGCGCTTGCATATTTGGAAGAATAACGAGGAGGTGCAGAGAGTGGGCTAGAGGGAAGCTGAGGGTCCGTCTGTCCACCTCTCCACTGTTATGTGTCTGAGAGACTGGAGAACTAGTCCTTTTATCACATGGACTTTGTGGTCCATTGGTGGCAGTCCCTCTGAGAGACATCACTCCTCAAAGGTGCTTTCCAGGCATACAAGAGCTGTGTTCAGGGTTAAAGCCATACACAATCACAACCACAAAGGACCCATGTTCCTTCATTGGCATTGTCTGGTCCTATCCACTCAGCAATCAGTCTTAAAACCCATAAAAAAGTATAACATTAGCACCTCAGTCCAACTTGCTTTTGATTTCTAGCACCAAAAAAAGTTGCCTTTTCTAAGATTTATGCACAGGACCTAACTACATAGAAATTTGCATTTGTATGAAAGGTAGTGAAATGCAGCTTTGGAATCAACCAGGATTTCAGTCTTCTTTTTACTATGGAATCAGAGACTATTCTAATAAATCCTCCTTTTCTCTCTAGCACACCTAAAAGCACCCCCCACTTTAGCTCCACTGCTAAATTAGGTCTGAATTTTGGTACTAAAAAAAAAAAAAAAAACAGAGAGTAACTATAGGGGTAGAAGAAGAACAGTGAGAAACACAAGGCCAGGAGGGCAGGGAAACAGTCACTCAGGGCCACCTCGGCCACCAAAACATCTGTCCCTGCCCTTGGGAGAATGAAAAAGCAAACCCGACATGAAGAGAACTGAAGGTATGTCAGAGACACCCCCGGCTTAACGAGGGACCCACAAAGACCACATGTATCCAATGTGCTCTGTCCTAGACACAGCCTCCCAGGAACTCCTACAACTTCACCGGGTGCTTCCGGCCCTCTGGGTTTAGTTTCCATTTTCAGGTTTACGCAGTCATGGTTTTACTACGAAGAGGAAATGTCTTGTAAACTAATGGGAAACATATTGTTTGGCACAGTTTATAATGCCAGGATTTATGGCTCTAACGCCGAGGGTCTCTCTGACCTCGAAGACAACACAGTGAAACAGAATGTGCTGCCAATGACTCGCTGTGGTTTTTTATTAGTTCTCATAATTGCCCCTTATTAATCTGTATGCACATAATAAGCACTCACCTTCACAGTCTGTCCAGCTTCAAGGCCATCCTAGGAGGGGGGGAAAACAGCAGAGTGAGAATAGATAGATGGTACCCCCTGATTATTTGGAAATATCGCCATTAATAATTCAGATCCAATTTCATTGTGTGTTAATTTATAGTATTCTCATGGGGACCATTCACTTCCAGTGTGTGGGACCAGACAGTTCTCCTTTTCTGCCTGCGCGTGAGAAGTTATATATAAAAATGATCTAAATTATCCAGCAAGCCAACCCCCTTGCTACTTTTCATGCTCTTTGCTCTTGGCTACGGTTTTAATTGCATTAAAAGGCAGGCTGAAAATGTTTGGGGAGGTGAAGTATCACACCTCTCAGTTATCTTTAAATCAGACATGGTGGTTTAATTAATGTCTGACTCCTTTAAGTCTCTACTCAGGAAATCTGCTGTAACCGGTATCCATTAAGCAAGACTATGGGGTACGATGCGTGGGAAGATCCTTCAGGTTATCCTGACCTTGGTGAGGGAGAGAGTGTTCCCTGTGGCTGGACCTCTTGCTAATCCTGCTTTCCTCTCCCAGCTTCTGAAGTCCAAAAAAACTACTATCTTTGTTGAAAATGAGAGGACTTTCCCGGTCAGCAGCCATAAGACAAAGCAGAAGCAGATGCTTAGTGGGATTGGGAAAGCAGAACAAGAAACATCTCCACACCCAAATCTTCCCACGGGGAATTACCACTCTGACTTTAGCAAGATCTGCCTGCCTCTAAGAGCCTGACCAATAGGCTGAGAACTGTTCTCCTGCTGTTGCAAGGGTTTAGCAGAACCGTGGCCATCAGTGCTTTCCAAACTAGAAGGGATAGCGCATCATCAGTGGGTCATGAAGTCAACTTTATAGGTTGCATCTGATATTGAAAAATAGAGAAATAACATCATAATAAACTTAATAGGTTGAAACTGATACTAAAAATAAATATATTCTATCAAGACAAAAAGAATACACAAAGTAAATGTGGTTTTATAAAAGTCTGTTTTCCTCATCTGTGTAGGGGTATCTAAGGGAAGGAATAAACACTATATA